CTTCAACTCCCAGAATTCCTGAGCCAGCCATGCTGAGGGGAAAGGGAGAGGTTTCCAAGCTGAGCCACGCTGCCTCAGGAATTCTGGGAGTTGAAGTCCACAAGTCATAAAAGAGCCAAGGTTGCCTACCCCTGGTCTAGTGGTTAAGCTACCAATCTAGAAACCGGAGACTGTGAGTTCTAGTCTGCCTTAGGAATGAAAGCCGGATGGGTGATCACTCTCAGTCCAACTCAACTTCCAGGGTTGTTGTGGGAAAAATATAAGGATGAAGAAGAATTCGGTAAGTTTGCCACTTTGAATTATTTGTAAAAATAAGAAAGCCGGGCTATTAAATAAATGTATTAAATCAATAAAATCATTTATATACAAATTATGAGCTCTATCTTCCCCAATACACACAGTGTTGGAGGATTGAAAAAGAAACAGCAATGGATTCACTCTCAAGGATGATAAATCAATATTCAAAAGCTTTTGAGCAGGGATCTTCAAACTTGGCCCTTTTATGACTTGTGGACTTCAACTCCCAGAATTCCTCAGCCAGCATGTCTGGCTGAGGAATTCTGGGAGTTGAAGTCCACAAGTCATAAAAGGGCCAAATTTGAAGACTCCTGCTTTAGAAGATCAGGTTGCAAGCAATGCACTGTGTAATCCTCAAAATGCCATCTTCTATCATTTTTTCTCCCCAAATAATTTTTAGAAACCTGCTTTTTAAACTTAAAAAGGGGTGAAAAAGTCATCTTTTGCCTCAAGATCGTTGTTCTATTTTTAACTGTGATTATATTTAATTATAATTCTCTTTTTATCTATATTTTTATTAGTTTTAGTTATTTTGGCATCAAGGGGAGCAGAATTTCTATATAGTACTATGGTATTAATATTTTTATTTTTATCAAATAGGCATGCATAGGATTTGCACTGAGGTATACAATGGAGGACTGAATGCTTCTGAAATACATTTTCTAAATTATAATGACAATTTTGATTTCTAATAAACACTCAGAAATACCAGCATAGTAGATAGCTGGGATGTTCAAAAGAGCTTCTTCCCAAAATATTCCAGAGAATTTTCCCCACCCAAAATGGGTCAGTCTAAATATTCCACAGTCCTTCATCCAACTTGAAGCCATGTAGACAGAGTATAGTCAACAGATTCCTATACACACAACTACTGTGGTCACCCAACACACTAAACTGTAAATCTGGATTCACAAGCCCCAAATCTGTATTTATGGAATAAGCTATGCTCAAACAATGAAACCTATTATGGCTTAACTAGATGGCTGAGATCACTCTGAATTCTAAGATGAGCCTGGATATCCACAATGTGGCAAAACGCAAATCATCCAGTCACTTTTTAAATAATAATAGTAACAGCAATAAACTAGGGGTGACATGATAATAAATATAAAAACTAAGGGTGACTTGGGGTGACTTGTTAGCGATATTGCAGTATTAGAGGAGCTACCACAAAGAAGAGGGGGTTGACTTATTTTTCAAAGCATCAGAAAGCAAGACAAGAAACAATGGATGGAAACTAATCAATGAGAGAAGCAACCTGGAATTAAGGAGAAACTTCCTAACAGTGAGAGCAATTAACCAGTGGAACAGCTTGCCTTCAGAAGTTGTGGGTGTTTCATCAGTGGAGGTTTTTAAGAAGAGACTGGACAGTCACATGTCTCAAATTGTATAGGGTCTCCTGCTTGAGCAGGGGTTTGGACTAGAAGACCTCCAAGGTCCCTTCCAGCTCTATTCTGATTGAAAATAAACAACAACTGGAGCACCTCTTGAATACCATTGGCATTGGCAAATTCACCATCAGTCAATTGCAAAAGGCAGCTTTATACAGCTTACATCCTGTGACAATATCTGTAATACCATCGAACATCCAAATTTGCTTATTCCAGGTCCTTGGGAAGGACTCGGTAGGTGGACAAAAAAATGCCAAATCCAATCTAAACATCTGGCTGACTGTGTCTAATCATATTAACTTCAATGTCCATGTCTGCTCATTTATAGGAGATGACCAGGCTGAGCCCGAGGGAGGGGTTCAAACGCATCATAAGCCATGAATCCCTGCACGCCTGCAAGAGATCTAAGTCCAGCCCACCTTGAATGTCTTTCTTATCTCCCGCTCATTTCCCTTGACCGTTAGTAGCTCAGATTCTTGTAGAGAGCTTAAGCTTGCAATAAATCTTTATACTCATTTAAACTTCCCGAATCTCCTGATTTCCCCAGCTCTTAACATCATTTTCCCAAATGATTCTGGTGGCCAACAGAGATAGAAATATCAGTATTACCATAAATACACAACACAAATAAATAACGACACAACAAAAATTAAAAGAATGGTAGCTGAGAACAACCAATGAAAATAAGTATATAATTATATCATAATTAATTAATTATAATTATTATTAATTGATTAATTAATTAATAATTATTAATTGATAATTAATTTATCTATATAAATAAAAATGTAAATGTCCATTTGTTCAAAATCTTAAATCTCCGAAAGTTCTTCACCGATTGCTTTGAAATTTTGACACAACGTTGCATTCGAATACGTGCATGTTTTTATATACCTATATTATATAGATGTCACACCTGTGACAGGTAAAACATGCTTTTTTAAAAAAACAGCGCCATCTGTTGGATGTAAAAGCAACACACGCTTTTACCAGACTGAGTCACAGCAACGCGTGGCTGGGTACAGCTAGTATAATATATAATAATAACAATCACTCACAGGGTCAACTAACCTCCTGACCTGTGTGCACGGGAGAAGAGCAAGTCTTAAGGTCTTCTGAACAACCACCAAGATCTCAGGGGAAAAATCATTTTCCAAAGGACCGTGGGGTGACAGACAAGCCATCTCTAGCATATTGCACAAACTGAGCCAGTATTTGCCCTGTCGGATTACGGTTTAGTTTCTAACATAAATCAGATGAAGCAATCCATTGTGTCATGACTTGACAAAATCAAAGGGCGGGAAGTTTTCATAAGTGATTGAATAGAAACGAAGCCCTTTCTTTGCAGAAGTAATGAGTAAATAGTTCCCTATATGAGGCGAGAAAATGGAATCTGGTGTTTCCCCCAGTGTAATCATTTCCTGGACGTAGGGACAGAGAATATGAAAATAACTCTTTGTCTCTTATTCCTTCTTAGAAGTCTGGATGGACCTCCAGAAACAATGAAAATCAACTTGATATGAGGGCCAGGATGCCCAGGATAAACTGACATTTATTTTTATATTTAATGAGGGGGGATTGGCTTGGGTTTTTGCATTGTTCTATATATTGTAACATAATTTTTCTTTATTATTGGAAATGGTTGAGAATCTTGGTTCCCTGCAATGGGTATTAATGTGATGAAAAAATGGAATGACAAATGTGCCACACTGTTTTGCTGCAACTGCCTTACCTTACTTACTTGCATGTTGATATCACAACCCAGGTATGAAAGGGGTGGAGTTTGCAAGGCAATAACCTGATGCATGTTTCGTCAATTGTCTCTCCTCACCCCCAGCTGTTCACTTCTGTGGACCCTCATGATTTTGCATTGCAGGGAAGCATAGAGTTTCCCATTTGCTATGTGAAGAGCTCTCAAGGGCAATCACCACTTGCCCACCTGCGAACCTTAAGGCTGGCTTTAGGACATTTATGTGCTAGTAACAGTTAGGCAGTTTAAGTTGGTATCTATCTCTCTATCCATCAATCCAGCTACCCATCATCTATTTACCTACCCATCTTTCACCATCCATCCATCCATCCCTCTGTCCATTTTTCTATTATCTATCTACCTAACAATCTTTTGTCATCCATCCATCATCCATCCACCGTTCCATCCATCTATCTGTCATGTTCTATCTCTTTATCAATCCAATCGTCATCCTTCTACCTATCTCTGTCTGTCTGTCTGTCTGTCTGTCTGTCTGTCTGTCTGTCTGTCTGTCTGTCTGTCTGTCTGTCTGTCTGTCTATCTATCTATCATCTATCATCTATCCATCCATCCATCTCTCTATCTGTTTATTCATCATTTATCTACCTATCTTTTGTTAATCAACCATCCATCCTCCCATCCATCTAACCATCATGTTCTATCTTTCTTCTTTCTTTCTTTCTTTCTTTCTTTTTCTTTCTTTCTTTCTTTCTTTCTTTCTTTCTTTCTTCTTTTTTCTTTTTCTTTCTTTTTTCTTTTTTTCTTTTTTTCTTTCTTTCTTTCTTTCTTTTTTTCTATCATCTATCAATCATCTATCTATCTATCTATCTATCTATCTATCTATCTATCTATCTATCTATCTATTTCTCTCTCTATCTCTCTTTATCTTTCTACCTATCACACTCCATCCATCCATCCATCCATCCATCCCTCATTTATCTACCTATTTCTCACCTTCCGTCATGTCTCTCTTTCTCTCTCTCTCATGCATCATCTATCTAAAGTATCTATCTCTCTGTTTTCATCCACCTCTAACTACTTATCCATCTATCCGTCCATGCATCTTCTCTCTCTCTCTCTCTCTCTCTCTCTCTCTCTCTCTCTCTCTCTCTCTCTCGCTCTCTCTCTCTCTCACCATCATTCCATCATCTCTCTCTTTTTCTCTCTCAATGAAGCATTGTTCAGGCACCCATGGGTCCACCAAAATAAAAAAACACATTAAGCCTAAAACATGCCTAAAATCTACAGGACACCCCATTTGATAGTCTGGAATTACAAGTCTTCAGCCACCATGTTTTGATGGTGTCTGCCACCCGTAAAAGCCTTTCGCGCTTCCTGTGGAACAGAGCGATGACCTCTGATATGTTTCCAGTTCAGCTAACTCTCAGAGCAGAGGGACAGTTCCCAGGTTCGTATACATAGCTTAATTCTGCCCAGCAGCAGTGTTTTTAATTAGCTCTTGTCGTTTAGAGGAAAGGCTAAGCAGAAATTTCTTTCCTTGGATATGGAAATGAAGTCAAACCTAAGTGGCAGGTGATATTAAAGAGGAACATTAAACTTACATGCTGCTTTCCCACGATGTTATCAAAAGGAAGCTCGGGGCTCCAGGATCCTTCCGTGAACGTCGCTCCGCTGTTTCTCCTGTCTGAAGAAGGGATAGACTCTTTGACAATGTCTTCGGGTAAAGTCAGCAGGCTTTCCTCGGGCTGTTTGATCAGGTAGGTCTCGATGTTGTGTTTCCTCAAAAACTCATTGCGTTCTTTGCCATGTCCTTCCTCCACTTTATAATCCCCATTGAGACAATCTAGAGTCGCTTTGGATATGTGGATTCGCCTACAAGAGAGGTAAAGAAGGAGCAGAACGGATAGAAGTGAGGCACAGCTGGGCAATTCTGAGGAACACCAAGGCAGAATGTTATAAAATGAAGGAGAATATTTGTAGCTCAGGGTTGATACGGGGGGTGCTTGTTGCTCTCCAGGTTTGCCTATTTTCTTGCAGACGTTTCATTACCCTAACTCAGTGGTTCTCAACCTTTTTAATGCCGCGACCCCCAACCGGTCGTAAGTCGAGGACTAAACCGGTCGTAAGTTGAGGACTACCCAACCGGTCGTAAGTCGAGGACTTTCCCTGCCCGGGAGCGCCACGCATGCGTGGTTCCGCCCCCTGTGCCGGCCGAGGCGTAGCTGGCAAGTGGCAGAGACGGAGCAGGCCAACCACCAGCTGGCCCAGCCCAAGGGAGGTAAGGCACCCGCCGGAAAAGGGGGGAAAAATGGCGGACAGCCTTGCTTGGCGACCCCCGTGAAATGGTCGATCAACCCCAAATGGGGTCGCGACCCATAGGTTGAGAACCGCTGCCCTAACTACTGTAGGAAACATCATCAGTTACAGAAACATAGCCAGCCATACCAACAGGCTGAAAAACAGCTTCTATCCAGGGGCTGTCAGGCTCTTGAATGGGACATGCTAATTTCATGCATGACAGACTGGTGAGGCCGGCGTGCTGTGCAATTAGCTCACAGGGTGTAATAAGTTGGGAGTTTGTAGTCACTGTGAGTTGTGGGGGGGGGGGCACGGAGGGAGGCTCAGCCAATCTCACTGTATACATGTTATACTTTGATAATAAAGGTTCATTCATTCATTCAGTGCTAGTCAGGGATGATGTTACCTAGTAGGGTAATGAAACGTCTGCAAGAAAACAAGCAACCTCAGAGAGCACCAAAGACCCCTCGTGTTACAAGATGTTTTTTGTGGCTGAAAAAAGGTTGTGTGGCACTTTCTCTCAGGAGTGGATTTGCCTGTTTAGCTCGCTGCGAATCCATAGGTAGACTAATACTGTGTGTTCAGGTCATTCTTGACTTACAATCGTTCGTTTAGTGACCATTCAGAGTTACAACAGCACTGAAAACAGTGACTTATGATCATTTTTCACACTTACGGCCATTGCAGCATTCCCGTGGTCACATGATCAAAATTTAGAGACAAGGCAACTGGTTCGTATTTATGAAACTTGCAGTGTTCGAACTTCTGACAAGCAAAGAATCTGGGGGAGGCAGATTCACTTAACAGCCGTGTTCCTAACTTAACGACTGCAGTGATTCACTTGACTGCAGTGGCAAGAAAGGTCGTAACATGGGGCAAAACGTTCTTAACAAATGTCTCACTAAGTGACAGAAATTTGGGGCACAATTGTGATCGTAAATCGAGGACGACCTTTATGTGTGTACTCAATGTTGATTCCTGGCCACTGCTTGCACCGATTCCTGTGGTTTTCTTGGCAAGACTTAAAAAGTGGCTTCCTCTTGCCTTTTTTCTAGGGCTGAGACAGAGTGACCGGCCCAAGGTCACCCAGATGTTTTCGTGCCTAAGACAGGACTAAAACTCACAATCTCCTAGTTTTTAGCATAAAACAGCAATATTAGCTGAAGCAAAATTCAGTTAGCATTAACTGTTCTCCTTAAAAAAAACACCACTTCTTTTTGGAAATATATGAAGTCCTTACAGTGGGATAAGAAAACTCTTGAAGTTTTCTTCCTTTTAACAGCAAAAATGCCTCACGTGCTAATAGGAGACACTCTGCAAAGCAATTTGTTTTTTTCTTTCAGCACTTCCTCTGGGCTGACCAAAGAACCACTTCTCTTTAAATTTATTTTATTCAAAAAATTTAAAACAAGCTTCAAAAACCCCCCACCTTTTTTTTAAATAAAGACAAAACAAAACTAAACAAAACATTTAAAAATTTGTGCAGGTCCTGGAAGGATCCTGGATGGATCAGAGATATGGATTGTGGTAGTTTGTGGTAGATAAGAAGCTGCTGTAGACTTTCTGTGAATCAAATGCAACAACAGACGGTTGACAGAGGATTTAAAAATTTTGAAGAGTATAATGCTGTGTGGGAAGTCAGCCCCCCAGAGAAGGAAATATTAAAAGGGCAGGAAAATATATTTCCTCAAAGGATCTTAAAGAGGCAGAAAAGTATGCCCAGGTTTTCTTAATAGCCCCAGGTCTCCCTTCCCCAAGCAGAAACTAGCTCTATAGAAATGCAGATGTAATAATCCATTCAGGAAGATTGAAGCCCTCCAGCTAGTCACAGTGTTTCTCAACCTTGACAATTTTAAGGCATGTGGACTTCAACTCCCAGAATTCCACAGCCAGCAATGCTGGCTGTGGAATTCTGGGAGTTGAAGTCCACATGCCTTAAAATTGTCAAGGTTGAGAAACACTGAGCTAGAAGCTTAGGAAGACAAAGACTCCCAAATTCTACATACCCCATCCAAACTCTAAGACAGGACATAATAGGATTAACACAGAGATACCAAAGGGCACACTCAGACTCAGGTCAAAGTTCATGCCACAGGAATAACTCCAAACAAAAGGCTCCAGAGGGTATAAAAACCCACTCCCTACATGTGCTCACTCTCTCTTTTCTGCCAGAGCCATCTTTCTGTCTGGCTCTCCTCTTCAATAAACTGCAACCTTCTTTCTGAAGCAGTCGCCATGTTGTTTATTCCCAGCTTGGACTGGACCCTGATGAAGACTTTTCCTTCAACAGCTGCTTTCTAGGGTTGGGACCTTTTTTTCTACCTATCTATATGGTGATCCGAATGTGGCTGTTAGAAAGTAGATTAAAAACTGGCATTAAAAGATATTGTGATATGGGATCCTCCCACTTGGTACTGATCTTCTAATGTTATTAATTAATTTATTTTTTTTAAAAAATCCCTCCTTTTTATTTTTATAAATAACTCAAGGCTCTCATGCTTAAGGCAGAACTGTAACTCACGGTCTCCTGGTTTTTACTATGGTGTGCCTTAACCACTAGATCAAACTGGGTTTTATTTTTATTAGTTTGTTTTATTGGTTTTATTATGATTCTATGTAGATAAGGACCACTTTTTAACTATGCCTGCATTACTAGCAGTAACGATGAAGTGGGCCTGAGGGCTATGTAATTTTGAGCATGTGGCAGCTTTCTGCCTGGGTAGTAAGTATTGTTATTAAGCGATCAGCATCTTTTTCAGAGAGAGAGTTTCTTGTTCCAATGACTGCAACAGTTCTGATATGCAGAGATCAGTGACATGCAGTTGAGTCTGGCCAGCAGGGAGATAAAGGGCTTTATCCGGAATTATGAAATGTCAGAAAGAAAAATGGATATATCTCTGAAAAGAAGTTCAAGCAGTCAAATGTCGGGACGCTATCATACTTCAGAGCATTATTATAAAATCGTAAAAGGTTGTTTCTACACTGCAAAGCCAGATGAATTTTATATCAGAGACAGGTTTTTTGATTCTGCAGCATGGAATATTCTAAAGAGAATTTTGCAAATTCTGCACTTACAGATTGCCTAGAAGTCTTCTCCAGAGTGACATATGAAAACATACAAAGAACGATTGCAGGAATTGGGTGTGTCTACTCTAGTGAAAAGAAAGGGGTGACATGATAGCAATGTTCCAATATTTGAGGGGTTGCCAAAAAGAAGAAAGGGTCAACTTATTTTCCAAAACATCAGAGAGCAGGACAAGAAATAACGGATGGAAACTAATCAAGAAGAGAACCAGCCTAGAAATAAGGAGAAACTTCCTGACAGTGACAGCAATTAACCCGTGGGACGGCTTGCCTTTAGAAGTTGTGAATGCTCCAACACTAAAGGATTTTAAGAAGAGGTTGGACAGCCATTTGTGTGAAATGGTATAGGGTCTCCTGCTTGAGCAGGGGGTTGGGCTACTAGGAGACCCCCAAGATCCCTTCCAAATCTGATGTTCTATGACGATGTTCCTTGACTTCTTTGGTGAGAAAAGATGTCTAATAAATGCATGGCTCTCTGTGATATGTATGTATATATGTGTATATGTATGTATGTGTATGTATATGTATACTGTATGTATACGTATATGTATACACACACATAGATACATATACAAATATACATAGATACACACCCAAATCCATTTCAAGTAGTCCTCGACTTACAACCAGTTGCTTAGCAACCATTTGAGGTTGTGACAGACCCTTCTAGAAGATACTGTACCTACCTCAGATAGTGTTTGATGTATGACCAAAATTTCTGCTGCTAAGCAAGACACTTGTTAAATGAGTTGTTCCTCAGGTTATGACCTTCTTTTAACCACAGTTGCCAAGTGAATCACTGTAATTATTACGTGAATCACGGGCTCATTAAGTGAATCTGGGTCCCCCTATTGACTTTGCTTATTGTAAGTCAGCTGAGAAGGTTGCAAATGGTGATCACATGACCCTGGGACACTGTAAGCATCACTGGAAGTTTTTAAGAAGAGACTGGACAGCCATTTGTCTGAAATGGTATAGAGTTTCCTGCCTGAGCAGGGGATTGGACTAGATGACCTCCAAGGTCCCTTCCAACTTTATTATTATTATTATTATTATTATTATTATTATTATTATTATTATTATTATTATTATTATTATTGATGGCCAGTTGCCAAGTACTTCAGTTTTGATCACATGACCATGGGAATGGTGCAAAGGTCATTAGTGTGAAAAACGGTCATAAACCATTTTTTCAATGCTGGATAACTTCAAACGGTCACTAAACGAATGTTATAAGTCAAGGACTTCCTATATCTGATTCTGAAATTCTGATGACTACCCCCCCAGTCATGTGATCATATTTCAGGCCCTTGGTAACTGGTCCACATTTATGGCTGTTGTTAGTGTCCCACACTCAGTTCATCATAATTTACAATATTTTGGTCCCAAAACTGGCATTTACTTCTGGTTCTGGCAAAAATGCCTCATAGCAAACAAGGGGTTTACTTAGTGAGCACGGCATTCACTTAATTATCACCACAAAAAAAGATTATAAAATCAGAACCATCATGACTTACAATCACAATGGGCAAGTTCCATTACAGTTATAAGTAGAGAGCTACCTGTAAAGGTCAAAAGTCGAAGCTATCAAGAGGCTACTCGGGGTAGGCAGCCTTGGCTCTTTTATGATTCGTGGATTTCAACTCCCAGAATTCCTGAGCCAGCCATGCTGAGGGGAAAGGGAAAGGTTTCCATGTTGAGCCATGCTGGCTCAGGAATTCTGGGAGTTGAAGTCCACGAGTCATAAAAGAGCGAAGGTTGCCTACCCCTGGGCTAGATCTCAGGAACATCAAGCCATATACATAACATGCCCATATCTCTGCAACTAGAAGTCTGTGATATGGGCTGAATGACACGTAAAGACTTCCCTCCAAGACACCCAGTGCAGTGAGTTTCCAGGGCTGAGCGTGGACCTGAATTTGGATTTTCGCAGAATGAATCCAACACCTTCACCAATAGCCCATCCCTGTACACCAGGGTTCTCCAAACTTGGCAACTTTAAGACTTGTGGACTTCAACTCCCAGAATTCCTCAGCTATTTCTCAATTCTGGGAGCTGAAGTCCATAAGTCTTAAAGTTGCCAAATTTGGAGAACCCTGCTGCAGACCAGGCATAAAACCTGATTGAGGAATTCCTTCCTTATCAGAATCATGAGCAAATCCAAGAAAACCATGCTTATAATTGAGACGTCTAAGAGAGGCAGCAGTTTTCCGGGGCCCAGACTTCAATATTCCTGCTGTAAAAGTGAGACTCAAAATCTAGAACATGATGGCCTCATTTGACCAGATTCCACTTACCCAGGTATTCCACCTGACTCAAGTTTGTTTGCAATGTCTACATCCCACGACCAGACATCAAATTGCCATTTCCGCAGACCCAGAACCCCACACAGCACAGATCCAGAGTGTATGCCGATCCTCATGTCCACATCATGCTTTGTCCTTGACCGAACATACCTAAAAAAAGATTCAATTCAATTTTATTCAGATGTAGATGTAGATATAGATATAATATGTATAGATATATGTATAGATATATAGATATAGAATAATAATAATAATAATAATAATAATAATAATAATAATAATAATAATAATAATAATAATAATAATAATAATAATAATAATAATAATAATAAAGATGGAAGGGACCTTGGAGGTCATCTAGTCCAACCCCCTGCTCAGGCAGGAAACCCTATACCATTTTGGACAAATGGCTGTCCAGTTTCTTCTTAAAAACTTCCAGTGTTGGCGCATTCACCACTTCTGGAGGCAGGTTGTTCCACTGGTTAATTGTTCTAACTGTCAGGAAGTTTCTCCTTAGTTCTAGGTTGCTTTTCTCTTTGGTTAGTTTCCGCCCGTTGCTTCTTGTCCTGCCTTTAGGCGCTTTGGAAAATAGCTTGACTCCCTCTTCTTTGTGGCAGCCCCTGAGATACTGGAACACTGCTATCATGTCCCCCCTCGTCCTTCGTTAAACTAGACATACCCAATTCCAGCAACCGTTCCTTATATGTTTTAGCCTCCAGTCCCCTAATCATCTTTGTTGCTCTTCTCTGCACTCTTTCTAGAGTCTCAACATCTTTTTTACATCGTGGTGACCAAAACTGGATGCAGTATTCCAAGTGTGGCCTTACCAAGGCATTGTAAAGTGGTATTAATACTTCA